AAAGATGGGCTACCAGCTGGTTTATCTAATCCAGACTGTGGCCTGAGCTCTCCTTGTAGTCACACCGTATCAATTTAGGGTCCGGTATTGAAATGGACTGTGGTTTTACCTGTGCCCTAATTTCGGCTGTCCCTGATTATGGTTTAGTTCATGATTAGTACTTTGTTGAACTCGAGCTGGATGTTACCAAATCTTAATCGCTTTAGGCCCCCCCTGTGCGCAGGATCACGTATATATACGTGATTCTGTGTTTCCAGGTAGGGAACATGCGCAACCGCCCTATCTGCGCCACCATATGCGGCCCCGGGTGTCAATCATTGGGTCCCCGCCAGTGATTACCGGTGATCACTGAAAGGGAGGAGGTCTGCATTGTTTACCAACAGCCCTCCGCCCTGTCAGTTTGGGCACACTGCTCGTGATGGGTGAGCACAGCCATTCCGATCAGTGTGCTTACAGTGAAGCACACACCTCCCGCCCCCTAGTAAAATGCTCCCATCACACAGATAACCCTTTGATCGCCCCTCATTGTTAACCCTTTCTACCCCAGTGCCATTAGTACCGTATCAGTGCTTTTTTTTTAGCACAGATCACTGTGTTGGTGTCACTGGGGATGTCAGTGACACCAAGTCAGTTCCTCATTGTGTAGGAATGCTCGCCACAGTCCTGCTATAAGGCACTGATCGCCACTATTATTAGTATATAAAAAAATAAATCCAGTATCTATAGTACCATTTGTAAACACTATAACTTTCACGTAAACCAATTACGTTACTTGTATTGGGATTTTTTCTAGCAAAGACATGGAGCAGAATGCATTTTGCCTAAATTTATGACGAAATTTGATTTTTTTAAATTTTTTTCCTGGATATGTTAAATAGCAAAAAGTCCAAAATATCGTTTTATTCTCAAAATTGTCGGTATTTTTTTTTCATAGCACAAAAAATAAACACCGCACAGGCAATCAAATACCACCAAAAGAAAGCTTTATTTGTGTGAAATAAAGGACGTAAATTTTGTTTGGGTACAGCATTGCATGACCACGCAATTATCAGTTGAAATAGTGCAGCGCCAAATAGCAAAAAGAGGCCTGGTCGTTAACCAGTTTCCAAACACGCTATAGCTGAAGGACAGCTACAGCGCAGTTATGGAATCCTGGAACGACATCCATGGACGTCATTCCGGAATCCGCCCCCTGCATGCCCCCAGAGGCGTGCATCCGGCGCAGCCTGTGATCACTGTGTCCTATGGACACAGCTGATCACGGAGTACGGTAAAACGGCCAATCACGGCGACCTTTTACCATGTGATCAGCTGTGTCCAATGACACGGTGATCACTGAGTAAATACAGTTGCCGTTTTTCGTCTGCACTTTCCTCATGCTATCACAGCATGAGGAAAGTACTGCAGAGAACTGGCAGTTGTCAGTGAAGGGATTGGCACTGATGATCAGTGCCCAGGAGTGCCGCCCACCTGTGCCACCCACCTGTGCCCATCAGTGCCACCCACATGCCCATCAGTGCCACCCACCTGTGCCCAATGTCACCCACCTGTTCCACTCAGGAGTGCCACCCACCTGTGCCCAGCAGTGCCACCCACAAGTGCTGCCCATCAGTGCCATCTATCAGTGAAGCATCATCAGTGCCACCTATAAGTGCCGCCTATCAGGTCCATCAGTGCTGCCTATTCATGCCACCTCATCAGTGCCCATCAGTGCTGCCTATCCGTGTCCATCAGTGCTGTCTATCAGTGCAGCCTCATCAATGCACATCAGTGAAGGAGAAAAATTACCTGTCTGAAGAAAAACATTTTTCTTTGTATCTATTATAAAATGTAGCAAATTTTTTGCATTTTTTTGTTTATAGCACAAAAAATAAAACACCCAATGGCTATTAAATACCACCAAAATAAAGCTCTATTTGTGTGAAAAAAATTATAAAAACTTCATATGGGTGCATTGCTGCATGACCGCACAATTGTCATTAAAAGTGCGTCAGCGCTGAAAGCTGAAAATTGGCCTGGGCAGGAAGGGGGAATAATTGCCCAGTAGGCAAGTGGTTAAGGGGGGTAAATCCTCAAGATGGCAAGTGGTTAAGCTAGCTCCAGTTCATCCTCTCCTGTTTACTTTCCTTGTTACCAACAGGAAAATATCAGCTTGGAATAATATAGGCAATATAATTCTTGTCAAGTTGACCAACATATACTGACACTGATATCTTCCTTCTTAGACTTTACACTCATTTGGGCAGGTCCCCCATCTCACATGTCTTGTTTCTAACCATCTATACATACAACCTGTTGCACTTCCCCTTTAAACATATATGAACCAACAAAAGTGGATTTGATAACCAAAATATACCATAACTCAGTACATAATGTCTCAATAAATATATAATGGTGAACAAACCAGTGAATAAAAAATGCATTCATATAAAATAATGTCCCACAATCACAAACAAATATATTACTATAAATAAAAAAAAACCTCCACAATAGAAATAAAGTCCATCCACAGGTGGGAAAATGCTGATTGGATGCTATGTGATCACTCCTGTGTTCCAACACTAAACACAACCTCTTACCAGAGATATCAGACCTCTATAAAGATCATAAATGCATGAGGGCTAGACAGGGTAACTGTCAGAATTGTTTTGTTTATTTATACACATTCTTTCTGAACCTGTTAGTTTGGATTTAGATTGTAATTGTACCCCTTCATTAATTCTTTACTTGATGTATGTTATTTGATATATCAACACTTTATAAATAAAGAAAAAAAAAATAATGATGATAATAATATTAATAACTGACGAGGCTGAAAAAAACACAGGAGCTACATGTTCAGCTTCTAGCAAACTGCAGCAATTTTTGTTATTTAACTAATTTTACTTCTTATTTTAAATATACAAGTATGCAGCGAGATATTTATACAAAGATGGCATGTAATCAATAACAGTATAGAAAAATACATCCTAGTGTGTATTATTGTCCATTACAAAATCAATACGCTCATAGAGTTAGGTTAAACTAGGTTTGCCTAGAATGCTGCTTAGAAACAATTGTGCTGCCTCCGCAGTACATAGAAAATGCAGTTGAATTGTGTATACAGTCTGTGTTGTTTTCTGGTTGTTTTTTTATTATGCTGCCATCCTGTGACCAACCTAGGACTATGTTATTTTCTGTATTTTCTTTCCTCTTCATGTGAAGATATTTCCTCTTCCTTGTGTGTGAGATTTAGCCTTCCTCCTTTACAAGAGACACATTGGTGCTAAGAAAAGCCAATGCTCTTTTTTTACCAAAAGCAAAAAAGCAAACATTGTTGTGCAATACTTTTAAGTTAAGAAAACGTACATAACACCCTTAAGTGCAAATAATGCATATATAAGTCCAACACATCCAATATAATTGCAGGAGTATGGACATTTTTTAAAAAACGTACTTGTCCAAGGCACTTACTCGCAGTCCAAATCTACTTATCTCTTGTGACAATCTACTTGTCCTGATAAAAAAAACAAATGTAACCAAAGCCATATTTAAAAATGAGGTGCTATTAAGAATGTCTGGGGCTTTCAAAAATGAAAGGGGCTTCATTGCGACTTAAACTTTTAATATTTTTAATATTGTGCTGTTTATCTCCTACTTACCTCCGTGTCTGTCTCCAGCACCGCACTCGGGGACTAACAGGGAGGGGAGAGACCTTGCAGTGTAATGAGCACTGATTGGGTACTCATCGAGAAAGGGGAGTTCCACGCACTCTTAACGCTCAGCTGAGCGATCAAATGAGGTGCCAGCCCCAATGAGAAAAAAAAAAATTATTCCCTCAGGTTACCTTTGCACACAGGAGCACGTCAGTGCTCAATACAAGTGCATGCTGAGCAGCCAAATTATGCTCCAGGGTCCACTCTGTTAAAGGATAAGTTCACCTTTTAAAAAAATGAATCAGGTAAAAAAATGTTCATTTAATTTTTTTTTTTTTTTTTTTAGGAGCCTGGAAGGCATTGCACCAGCGATCAGCAGATTGGAGGTGCAATGCAGGACTCCTGCAGACTGTCTGTCCAGACCCCAAACAGGCAAGCAGTTTCACACTGACAGGAACAATCAATGAACTACCAGAGCGCTGAACAGCGCAGTGGTAGTTCATTGAGAACTACAAGCCGACAGTCGCAAAGGATGTCAGTACTGATGATTTTCAAAAAGTGACAGCCAGGTGCAAGTAACTTCTCCCCGTACTGCTGTCACACAGAGGGCTTGGATAGCTGAGCTGCTGCAAGAGCTGGAACATGTTACATGTTCCACCCTAAAGGTGGGTGTAACATGTAATGTGTTCCCAAAGGTGAACTTATCATTTATCCCTTTCGCTGCAAGAGCCCATTTTGCGTTTTAAAAAAAAATCACTTTAGGCCTGAAGATAACATAAACCCCAGAAAACATGCAAAATTTTCAGAAATCAGACACCCTAGAGAATAAAATAGTGGTAGTTCAAACATTTTATGTCACACGATATTACTGCAAAGGCAAAATTTCAGTAAAAAAACACACTTAAGTTAATTTTATGGCACAAGAAGGCAATAAATTACCCAATTTTTTGTAAAATATAAAATATGAGGTTACACCGAGTAAATAGATACCCAACATGTCAAACCTTAAATTTGCGTGCCCTTGTGAAATGATGACAAACTTTAGTACCCTATATTTTCTATAGGCAACACTTTTAAAGCCCCTTATAGGTCATCAGTTTAGCTTTACAGAGGAGGTCTGATGCTAGAATTATTGCTCTCATTCTGGCATGATATGTAATGTGTATCATAATTGACGTTTTCTCGCATAGGTGCCCTGCCATGTGTGTTTGTTTGTATGTGTGTGTATATGTGGGAGTAGGGGGGGCCTCAAAAATTTTTTAGGGAGGCAGGGGTTATGTGTTTGGGTGTAGTGCAGGCCATAGATGGGTTGAAAATCGGCCGATTTTTCGGCCGAAAATAAAATCGGCCGATTTTCGGATCATTAGTGGGCGATTTGGTTGGACGTTTTTCGGTATTTTGGCCGTTTTTTTTTTTTTTCGGTAAAGTTGGAAAAAAATCGGCCGATTTTGCCGATCGGCCGATTTTCGCGGCAATAATGGGCAAATCGGCCGATTTTTTACCGATAAAAAATCTGCGCATGAGCAGTGACCTGCAAGAGGAAGACAAAAAGAAGAAAAAGAAGAGGATGAAGATGATGAAGAAGTAGAGGATGATGATGATGAAGAGGAAGAAAGAAGTAGAAGAAGACAATGATGAAGAAGAAGTAGAAGAAGAGGATGATGATGATGAAGAGGAAGAAGTAGAAGAGGATGATGATGATGATGAAGAGGAAGAAGAAGAGGATGAAGAAGATGAAGAAGAAGAAGAAGAAAAGGATGAAGATGATGAAGAGGAAGAAGTAGAAGATGATGATGATGAAGAGGAAGAAGAAGTAGAAGAAGAAGAGGATGATGAAGAGGAAGAAGAAGAGGAGAAGATGATGATGAAGAGGAAGAAGTAGAAGAGGATGATGAAGAGGAAGAAGAAGAAGAAGAGGATGAAGATGATGAAGAGGAAGAAGTAGAAGAAGAAGAGGATGATGATGAGGACGAAGAAGTAGAAGAAGAGGATGATGATGAAGAAGAGGATGAGGATGATGAAGAAGAAGAAGAAGAGGATGAGGATGATGAAAGAAGAAGAAGAGGATGATGATGAAGAAGAAGAAGAGGATGATGATGAAGAAGAAGAAGAGGAGGAGGATGATGAAGCAGAAGAAGAAGAAGAAGAAGAATGAAAAATTAGAGGAATTCCAGTACGGCAAAAAGTGTCCCTGCAGAGAGCTCCGCTATTTCTGACAGTTCTCTGACAGTTCCTTGACATTTACAGAGGTTGCAACATTGTATCTATTTGTTTTCCGAATAAAAACATCTGTATCCTAAATGGAAACAAATAGATACAATGTTGCAACCTCTGTAAATGTCAAGGAACTGTCAGAGAACTGTCAAAGAAATAGCAGAGCTCTCTGCAGGGACACTTTTTGCCGGCTCTAGACGGGATGAAAATCGGCTGATTTTTTTTACCATTGATGGTAACGTCGGCTGCTTGAACGACCGATTTTTCGTTTTTTAAAAGAAAAATCTGCCGTTTTTCTCCCCATCTATGGCCTGCATAACTTTTTGGAATTTTTTACAATTAAAAAAACAATTTTTTACTTAACTTTTTTTTTTTACCATCACCGTCCAGACCGTGCATGTCTCCACTGTACTCCAATGAATGGTAATGCAGAGCACATTGCACTGCATTACATTCTTTCCCAGCTTTGAAGACCGGGAAAGCTGTCAATGGGGACCCGGAAGTGTTGGATCCAGGGGAGGACTGACAACTCATGGGGCCCCCGGGCAATAGGGGATCATGGGGCCCCTGTGTCCTTGCCCAAACTCAAAAAAGTCTATGAAAAAGGTACCAGGGGCATCTCATGGGGCCCCCTACTGACCCCTGCCCTTGGGCAGTGCCCGAGTTTCCAAATGGTCAGACCGCCCCTGGTTAGATCCCCACTATTTCTTGCATTCTCAACATCAGAGCTATTATGAGGGACCTATCATGTGATTTTGCAAAATTTAGATACACAATATTGCCAAATGTATTGGGATGCCTGCCTTTACATGCACATGAAATTTAATGGCATCCCAGTCTTAGTTCATAGGGTTCAATATTGATTTGTCCCACCCTTTGCAGCTATATCAGCTTCAACTCTTCTGGGAAGGCTGTCCACAAGGTTTAGGAGTGTGTCTATGGGAGTGTTTGACCATTCTTCCAGAAGCGCATTTGTGAGATCAGGCAGACGAGAAGGCCTGGCTCGCAGTCTCCGCTCTAATTCATCCCAAAGGTGTTCTATCGGGTTGACATGTCCATCAGATTGCCAGACAGAGAAGTGTTATTCATCACTCCAGAGTCCAGTGGCAACGTGCTTTACACCACTGCATCCAACACTTTGCATTGCACTTGGTGATGTAAGGCTTGAATGCAGCTGCTCGGCCATGGAAACCCAATCTATGAAGCTCTCTACACACTGTTGTTGTGCTAATCTGGTCTTTAGCTATTGACTCTGCAGACAGTTGGCGACGTCTGTGCACTGTGCACTTCAGCTTTCGCTGACCCCGCTCTGTCATTTTACGTGGCCTACCACTTTGTGGCTGAGTTGCTGTTATTCCCAGTTGCTTCCACTTTGTTATAACACCACTAACAGTTGACCATGGAATATTTGGTAGCAAGGACATTTCATGGATGGACTTATTGCACAGGTGACAACCTATCACGGTACCACGCTTGAATTCACTGAGCTCCTGAGAGTGACCCATTCTTTCACAAATGTTTGTAGAAGCAGTCTGCATGCCTAGGTGCTTGATTTTATACAGCTGTGGCCATGGAGGGGATTGGAACACCTGAATCTAATGATTTGGAGGGCTGGCCCAATACTTTTGGCAATATTGTGTATGTCATATTAATAGAATTTCCAAATATACATGAAAAACTGACCATATTATTAAGGAAAGGCCCATGATTCTTGGACTATAGTATCTATGTTCAAAACTTAAAATCATAGATTTATTTCCATATTAAATTTAAATTATTTATTTTTTACTCGTATTAATCTAAATGATCTTGGAAGTTTGTAAACTACTTTGTGAAGATCCCCATACATTTTCTTCCGTGAATTCTGTGACGTGTAGTCACTATGCCCTGTGTGTAGGCACTGCTGTGTCACACATCTCACAGAGTCTGCCTTCTGAACAACAGAGGTGCTGAGAGGAGGAGTTTCAGGAGGCGGAGTCAGTACAGCAATCACTGCTTGCTGGCAGCAAATTGAGAAATTGCAACCAAACAGCAAAGCATGCAGGGAATCCAGGAGGTTGTGGAAAGAGTTGGCCAGCAGACAGGCAGCACTCACAGCATTAAAGGAGATTTTTCATGTGAGCTTAAAATTGGATTGTCAAAAAGAAAAATTGTTTGTATTTCTATTACAAATGCTGACGTTAAACAAATGAGAATGTATGCTGTGATCAGAGAACTTCTTTAAAGTGTTATTAAACCCTCAACAGTAAAATCAGTCTGTAAAGCATGATTGTTATACTCACTGTGGAACCTAAGGGGTTAATCCTCTGCATTGTGTAAAAAAGCTGTTTGATCCTGACTTCTCTGCCCCTCCTTTTGTTGAAATGACCGCCTGATACAGACTGAACCCATAGATACATGCACATGCTCAGTTTGGTGTGTATTGCTAGAGAGGTTTTTTTTTTTCTTGGAAGGGTGCATGTGATCAGCACATGAGCAATCAGCACTGTCCAGACAGAGGTCAGGGGTTCTGCATCCTCCTAGAGCAGAAAGAAAACTCCTCCTACAAGCTTTAATCGGTGTTCAGCTAAAGTCACAAGACTGCTCTAACTGCTGATGAGGAAAGGGATTTAGCAGTTTATATTTACTAAAATAATTGCACTTCCATGTTGTGTGTACTGTGGGCGACCAGATTCAGTGAATGCAGGGTTTAGTATCGCTTTAAGCTCTCTCTACTGCCTCACTCCAGCCTTACCTCCACCTGCACAGTTGTACAGGCTCCTCTGTACTGAAAATGTTTACTCTGATTTAAGTGCACACTGTAAGCTTCTAACAGTGTTCAATAGAGGCTGCAGCGAATACAGTACAGCCCACCTTAATTCCTCAATGGAGGGTGTCCATCTAACCTTTTCCTCCCCAGCTTAACTGGCCCTGGCATGCTCCTTTCATTTAACCCCTTGCCTACAGGGCACTTATACCCCCTTCCTGTCCTGGCCAATTTTCAGCTTTCAACACTGTCACACTTTGACTGACAATTGGGCAGTAATACAACACTGTACCCATATGACATTTTTATCATTTTTTTCACACAAATAGAGCTTTATTTTGGTGGTATGTAATCGCCACTGGGGGGTTTATTTTTTGCGCTATAAACAAAAAAAGAGCAAACAATTTGAAAATAAGTTTTATTATGTATCTATTATAAAATTTTGCAAACAGGTAATTTTTCTCTTTCACTGATGTGCGTTGATGAGGCTGCACTGATAGGCAGTACTGATGGGCACAGATAGGCAGCTCTGATGGGCACTGATGAGGTGGCATGGATAGGCAGCACTGATGGGCACTGATGAGGTGGCACTGATAGGCAGCACTGATAGGCGGCACTGATGAGCTGGCACTGATGATGCTGCACTGATAGATGGCACTGATGGGTGGCACTGGTGGGCAGCACTGATGGTTGGCACTGTAGGGCACAAGTGGTTGGCACTGCAGGGCAAAGTTGGGTGGCACTGCTGAGTGGAACAGGTGGGTGGTATTGATGGGCACAGGTGGGTGGCACTGATGGGCACAGGTGGGTGGCACTGCTGAGTGGAACAGGTGGGTGGTATTGATGGGCACAGGTGGGTGGCACTGCAGGGCACAGGTGGGCGGCACTGCTGGAATCAGGTGGGTGACACAGGTGGGTGGCACTGCTGGGCACTGATCATCAGGGCCCTGAAGATCAGTGCTGATCCCTTTGCTGACAACTGTGACAGCGTGAGGAAAGTGCAGCCGAGAACCGGAAACTATATTTACCCGCTGATTGCTGTGTCATTGGACACAGCTGATCACGTTGTAAAACGCTGCTGTGATTGGCCTATTACCATACCCCGTGATCAGCTGTGTCCGTAGGACACAACGATCTACGGCGGCGCCGGGTGCGTGCCGGGTTCTGGAATGATGTCCATGGACGTCGTCCCAGGATTCCACAACCACTCTGTAGCTGTCCTTCGGCTATAGTACTGTTGGGAACAGGTCAAGGTGACTTTACAGGGGAATGCAGAGCTGCCAGAGCACTTTACCTCTCCAGCAGCCCTGTGTTCCCGGCTGTGGTGGGGAGCAGTGTGGTGCACGATTCAGCGCATTAAACAGGCTCTCTTTTTTTGTTTTGTACAAACTTTATGTGAAATGTACGTTTTGTACACTTCACATTAGGCATGAACCTATCAGTATTGGTTCCGATACGGAGTATTTTCAGGATTACTCCTGAAAATACTCCCGATACCTTAACTGATACTTTGCAGTGCGATTTGTGTTAATGGATGCAAATTGCACCACAAGGAATAGCATGCGATTTGAACAGAAATGTGATTCCTGTCCAAATAACGTGGTTTCCCCACTGCTCCCGTGTGAACCCAGGCTTGTCATAGCTTTGAAATCCCTGCCACTTTCCCTCCTCTCCTACCACTGACACTCAGCATGGGATGCCTGTGGGGAGGTTTCCTGCACCGTTCCTGTATGAACTCATGCTATGACAAGCCTGGGTTTACACAGGAACAGTGAGGAATCACATTTCTGTTCAAATCGCATGCTATTCTTTGTGGTGCAGTTTGCGTCCATTAATACAAATCACACCGCAAAGTATTGTTACTCGGTACCGACAAGTACTTGACTGAATGTATCAGTAGTCATACTCACCAGTAAAAAAACAGTATCAGTCCATCCCTACTTCACATGAAGTTAGTACAGAACAAAAATGGGAGCCTGTTTAATGTGCTGAATCATGCACCCCACTGCTCCCTATGTACATGCCATGCAGTTCTGTACATTGCCATGCGAGTTGGCACAGTGCACTGCAATACAATGCAGCATGTGTGCATTTTAGCGAAGCTCCAGGTTGTTGGGAATGCAACAGCATGTACTATAATGTACTATATATA